TCACTGTACCAAATACATTAATACCAGAAACAAATATCCAGTAATCAGGAATTGCACATCACTTGACGAATTTCATCGAAATACAAATGGGAAAGCATATGGAGCCATCACTAGTTTTTTAAGCGATATAAAAATGGACTTATAATTTGTTTTTGCAACTAATAATTGGAGATGGCGTTTTAAAGCATTAGTGCCGGCCAAATAAGACTTCTAAGCTTTTGCAAAAGTGAAGGGAGCAACGTTAAATCTAAAAAAAAAAACAAAGAGTGGAAAACAAAATTAGACAGAGAGCCAGAAGATGCATGAAAGACAAGGCGAAAGGCAAAGCAGAACGAAATACTGGCACTTTATACGAGTTACATACAAAAATGTATTCGTGTACGTGTAAAATAGCGCGCAAGCTGAATATCTTCCTACTTACACAATAAATAAAATGTACTTTCTCACATGCAACACCCCGCACCAGCTCCTCCGAAATCATATAACTTTTGCCATTTCAAGTCTGCAGCTGTCTACATACCCGCCTGCTACTTTCACTGGTTTTCTTCCTAGTTGTGATTGTTGTTGTTGTCGCCAACATCAACCAACAACAAAGTGTGCGTCTTGTCTTTCATTTCAATTTTATCTACTTTTTAAGTAAGAAGTTTTTTTGCCTTGCGATACACAAAAACAGCATCGAATTGCTTTTCGTGGTTCTTGCACACCAGTCAGCCAACAAGTGCCCCATAAAGAAATCAAGTTCAAATAAATAAAAGGTGGCATAGAGATAGGAAAATGGTTACAGTGGGGGACAAGAGTATGTATAGTAAATGTTACTACTTTGGAGCTTTGGAGTAAAAAAAAAACGGAGTGGTGGTCGTGTAAATAGAAATAAATTATATATTTGCTTGTAAACGGCAACTGCTTCGTGTATGCACTCACACTGCGGAAATTTAGAGGCCAAAGAAGCGGTAACAGTTGCAAGGAAGGAAGGAGGAAATTTTTGGCTACGCAAGGCACCTGACACCTGCCGTTGGCCCTCTCAAGTATGCTTCGGTAAGCGAGAGCTACCAAAAAAGCTTGGTGAGCTATGTATCTGCTGTGCAGGAGCAATTGTACTCTCTTGGCTGAGTTTTGTTTGCAGGGAAAAGCGTTGAATGAACATATACAAATTATGTGTGACTGACTTAAGCTTAAATTAGTGGTGACATAACCATAACAAACAGCTGTTACAACCAACCTTATGGCCAACACTGTATTCGACTAGTGGTGCCCCACCATAACGCCATAACCACAACTATAGCCATAGAGACCAATTGAATTTTGGAAGTGCGGGTTACCAGACGTTCAAAAGAAATATATATTGTTCGCAGCCAACGTTTTGGCATAAGTGTAGATTATGAACCATTTAGCTACGCAAAAACCACAAAATGTGGCTCCATAGAACTTCTCACGCTGATTTCAATTGTACCAAAATTATTTGGAGCAAAAATATAAAAAAGATATAAAAGGTTAAACTAAAATTTTTTGATTTTTTGAAATATTAACATCTTTTGAACTATATAACCGATTCAAAAACTAATGTTGCCAAAATAAAGACAATTAATTTATCGTTCTGTTGATGTGCATAATTTATATGCCTTGTTATATTTTTAATCTAAAAATACTAAAAAACTAAAAGAAATTTCGTATTTTTTCATAAAATAACCTTTTTTAACAAAATTTCATAATTAATGCCAACGAAATTTATATTATTAGGAAAGTACAAGTAATTACCTTTAATTTGATGTACATAATTTATTATCATCTGCTGTTGAGTTTTAAGAATTTAGTGATAGTGAAAGAAGTTCTGCGCAAGTATCGTACACATTTTGCGCGTCTGGCAACACCGACATTGTTGACTACGAAAAATCCGGTGTTTATTGTTATGGTACCTATGTATAATCGATGATAGTTAATGGGGTTACAGTTATGGCAATGGTTATGGCTATGGCGTTATGGTATGTCACCACTAATTCAACCTTTATGCTCCTTCGTTTTATCTTACCGATACACCGGTTTGTATTCGTCGAACTTTTCGCTTTTTCTTGGCATTTTCTTACCAAACAAACTTCTTTTTCGGGATGAGTAGCCATATACAAACATATATATGTATGTATGTATGTATGTCTGTACATGGATGTGTATCTAACTTTTATTTACTTGCAATTTTGGCCATTTTCCTTACAGTGTTTGTCTATACATCTTGGCGGTAGTCTGTAGTATGCTAACGGTGTTGCCTTGACAGCAGCTGTTGTTTCCCATTTTTTTTCGTTCTATTTATTTTTATTACTTTTTTGTCTGCTACTGTTGCTTCTTCGTGGACTTTCCTCACTGCATACGAATGCGTTCAACTTATTTGTATCATCATTATCAATAGGAACTCGCACTCACTCAGAAACCTAAGTTTCCCTTTATTTCTCGTTTGGATTTTTTCAAGACTAAAAGCTCAGTTAGTCTAGACTTAATTTCCGTAACTTAACTTAATTTAATATTTTGGCTAACCTGTTATATGAGAAACTACGTTGGCGGTTAGTTAAAACTTAACTTACCGTAAGAAACTTAAGAACCTGTAGATTTTAGGTTCTCAAGTTACGGCCTTACGGAAATTGAGAGCGGTGAGAGAATCAGGCTTGCCAGACTCTCGTTTTTGTATTTCTTAAAAATAAATGAAAGCAAACATTTTTGTTTGCATAAATTTTTTTGATATGGCATTTTAGCCAGCGAACTGTTAAACAGCTGAAAAAAGAAATACAAAAACAAAATATTTCCGCTCTTGGCTTAAGTTGACATGTTGAATAACCATTGATGATTTCTTACGGTAAGTTAACTTAAGTTAAGTCTGGACTAACTGAGCTTTAAGAAAAGCATTTGCTTGGTTTCTTGGCATTTTTCTTTACAGATCTGCACATACCTATATATGTATATGCATCTACTACCTAGATAAATATGCATGTGTATGTATATATTAACATATGTAATCCTGTTCTTATTACACTATCTTATTCTTCTATCAATATACCTACATACATATGTATTATATTAGAGATATAGAACTGATTTTATGGGTTCAAGGTCTTTGTCACCTACCTTCAAGCTTTGTTTGCTATGACCGCCTTTTCATTGCCTTTCGCTTTTCAAGCGTTATGTATGAACTAAATCGTATGTATGTAAACCGCGGTTTCGTCGGGATGCTTACAAGTCACAAGCATGTTTTAAGTACATACGCATAAATTTTGTAAGGTATTATACAATTGCGTTCATTCATATGTATGTATGTACATATGTTCCTGCACATACCCACATAATGGAAATTAAATAAATAATATAATATCCTCTTTTGAACCATAACCATCAGGATGGAGTGCGTGTGACATGTTATTTAACTTGCCGGATTGGTATCTATGTATGTTACGCATTCAAATGTAATGAAATATCAACAAGTTTTCGACATCTTAGACATCTGATCCTTTTTTTACACGTCTTTTCTTTGCATGTTTTTTTGCCTGGGACTTTCAGAAGCTTATGGGCATTTTGTGATTGAAATCATGTCTGTATGTGCATAACTTATGCAGAATAATTTATTTCATAATGCTTAAACTGCCCTGAAATGATATCATGCCAAACTTTGCTTTTGTTTCGAACATTTTATCATAGAACCTTTTCGGCTTTCGTGTTGCATATTTTTAGGCACACCTGTTATATTTACATGCAGAGATTTTCAGCGCTGGAAATTCTACGTAGCAATTTTTAGAATCCCACTGGACGTGTATCTATTTCTTTTGTCTTACTTTAGTGAATAAAAATCAACTCGTACCTTAAATGCCTAAAATTATACTACTACTAGAGCTCAAAGATAACTACTAAGCAGGGACCGCAAATAACGAATATCCTTTGAAATTTCAACTCAAAAAATCTCGCGGAAAGATAAATGCTATGTGCATAAGGAGTAAACCAATATATTTCTTATTACTCGGGGTACCTTCAGCGGCACTGATTTTTATTTTTAATTTTTACTTATAAAAATCAAGTTTAATCATTATATTTTGAGTTTTATTTTTTACTCAGAAAATAATCGTTACGTTTTAAGTTTTATTTTTTGCTCGGAAAATAATGGTTACGTTTTAAGTTTTATTTTTTGCTCGGAAAATAATCGTTATTTCTTGAGTTTTATTTTTTGCTCAGAAAATAAAACTTAATTTTTGCGTATGCACATGCGCATGCGTGAATACACAGGGGGCGGCTGCATTGAACCTTTAACGCCACTGTGGAGTGGGTAATGAAAATACAGATACCAGGGCAGAAACAAAGAGAACCACATTTCTAAAGAAAAAAGTGCAAAAAAGCGCATACGCATACGCAAAAGTTAAGTTTTATTTTCTGAGCAAAAAAAAAACTCAAGAAATAACGATTACCGAACACGAGACTTAGAAAGGACATATAAAAACATTTACTAATATTAGTCCACTGATTGCCTTGGTTGGTTGAGACAAGTCAGCCTGAGAAATACTCGTAGTTTTGGCATTCTCCGACCACTTCTTGATCATGCTTGGCTGCCATAGTAATAATAGCCAGTCGACTGCCTCCTTTAGCGCTTCAGAAATGAGATTTAGCAAAAGTTCCGGACTGAACACCCCAATCTAACTGTACGTATCAGACTTCCATCTATGTATAGACTTTCAGATGGACGAACGTGTAATTATTATCCCAAAGGCGCTGACATATTTTGTAAAACCTTCGCAATCTTTACTTCACTTCCCTGAAAATCCGATACAGTAAAGTCTTCAGTGTTAGAAAATAAACAAACGTATGTACGGATCGATTTCATGTATTTCCTACGTTCTCAGCGTTCGCCTGCAATTCTCAACAGATACTTATGTTTTTAGTATTGTATTAAAATTTTACAAACTTCTAGTTGCAACGACTTTTTTACAACAAATAAAACTTTACTCAACTCATTTCACTTTTCTTTCTAATTTTAGGCACAGTATTCAAAGCACACAAGCTCATATTGGCAGCATGTTCGAAAAAATTCGCCGAGCTGTTCGAGAGCACACCAACAAATGGACAATGCGTTGTCATATTGGAGGCCACTTCGTCCGACAATATGGCTGCACTGCTCGAATTTATGTACAAAGGTGAAGTGCATGTGTCACAAGAGGCTCTAAACAGTTTCCTTAAATCTGCGGAAAATCTACAGGTGAGTACAACTCGAAATACAACGGTAAGGTAAGCACAGTTCCAGTATAATCTTTGCCATTTCAGGTGAAAGGACTGTCCACAGAAACTGGCCGCTTGGCCGCGCAACAGGCACAACATGTCGATACATCGCCACTAGAATCACCCACCGGGCGACGCAGCATGCGCAACAGCCTAAGCGGTGGTGCTGGCATTGGCAATGTTGTCGGCAGTAGTCCGCTCACCAGTATCGGTGGTGTGCCCAGTGGTGCCATTATCGGCGGCAATATGGCTGGCATAATGGCCGGAAATGCAGAACGCAATAGCAACAGCGGCAATGGTAGTGTAGGCAGCGGTACTGGTGCCTGCAACCTCACTGGTGGTAGTCTCATCAGCGGTCCTGGTAGCGCACACTGCAATCCCCCAGCCAGCACTGCAAGTGCGCTCGGCGGCGGCGGCGGTGGTGGTGGTGGTGGCGTTAGTGGAGCAGGTGGTTTAGGCAGCGGCGGTGCCGCGAGTGTTACACATCACCTCAGCAGCTCAAGTAGTAATTTGAAGCACGAATGCGATTCTCTAATGCAAAGTAGTACCGCAGCAGCGCTGGCCGCAGGTATACCGCCCTATGTGCCGCCCATCTATCGTCCCATGTCGTTCGAACCACTGCGCAAGCGCGTACTCCGCAGTCCATATGCCGAGCAAGAGGTGCGCGGCAGTGTGTTACGTGATGGTTCGAAAAATTCATCGTCCGATTGCGCGAGTCCGATCAGTAAACCGCCCTACCATCGACCGTCGTCGAGCGCATCATCGAATGCACCCACCGAGGCGGATACAATGCAATCGGAGCGTACTTCACCGAGGTTAGTGTGATGAGAGAGAGTATAAGTTGGTAGGGGGAGCATTGTACATGTGTAGAGTTGGAAGTTAGGTTTTGGAGATTATAAGCTGAAAGTTTAAGGTTTGGTTTAATTTTCTCTTTGCAGCCGTTATGAAAATCACAGTCCTGGTGCCACAGCGGGCAATGGCAATGCACCAAGCAGCCTAGACCGCTCAGTGAAAACGGAACGAAACAATGGCAGTACACACGAGGCTATTGATGATGACAGGAGCGAGCACGACGAATCGATTGATGTGAGTGTGAACCGAAAATAATGTTTACAGAAGAAGAGGATCTAAATATTTTCGCTATTTATAGAATGGAGCCGAAGATCTGCGAGTGAAGTTGGAAAATTCCAACTATTCGCCGCCACCGCCACAGCCACCTACCTCGAATGCATCTTCCACAACACCATCCGCCTTGCTGGAGAACCTTAAGAACGTCGAAGCTGGTTTGCCAAGCAATTTGGCTGCATCCATAGCGCCGGAGGATATGTTGAATGTATGGAATTCGACGAAAATGAACAACAAAAACAGCGGCATGGTCAATACGGCGGACGGTAATGAAATTTCGATGTTTTTTTAATAGCTAAAACTAAATACATTTTAAATTTTTACCCGCACTGATACAATAAACATAGTTTTAGGCGGTTGCGCGCCTAAATGTAGACTGTTTCCTATTCTCACTTTTATATCTTACTAATTTCCTTTAATACAGCATTTCTTTGCACCTTTTTTGTGATTGCTTTACTAAAATTCTTCAAATATCAACCCTTCAACGTTTAGGCAAAAAGCTGAAGTGCCTGTTCTGTGATCGCCTCTACGGCTATGAGACAAACCTGCGTGCCCACATCCGTCAACGACATCAAGGCATCCGCGTCCATTGTCCCTTCTGTTCGCGCACCTTCACCCGCAATAACACCGTGCGTCGACACATCGCACGCGAACACAAACAGGAGATCGGCTTAAGTGCAGCCAGTACTGGCATTGTACCCGCCTCCATCGCCGCTGCGGCTGCGGCGGCGGCCGCGAATCATTCACAATAGGATGCGGCCGCAACAGCGGCGGCAGCAGTAGTCATGAGTGCGCAGAAAGCAGCAGCAAAACAACGTAAACGAAAATCATTGAAAATGGCATTGGAGAAATGTATGCAACGACGCGACGCAGCAGCTAGCAACAGTGGTGGCAGCGCTAGCGCAAGCGTAGGCAGAGCCGTCGTCGTCGGCAGCAGCAGCAGCAGCAGCAGCAACAATAACATCAGCAGCGGTGGCTTTACTGGCGATATAGCAAGCAGCAGCAGCAACAACGCGAACGCCAATATAGCCGCCATCGGCGTAATAGCCAGCACATCGACGCGTGCGGCAGAAGAACGCAAACAACAGCAGCAGCACCAACACGTACAGCAGCAAGTCGAGTTGGAGCATAGAAAACATCAGCAAACACAGCAGCGGCAGGCGCGGCAAGAGCGGCGGCGTAATAGTACGACGAGCACGCGCAACGCCAGCACTAGCAGTGCAATGGTGGAGCAAAAGGTGGGAGAACAGGAGGAGGAGGAGGAGGAGGAGGTTGGTGTGGAGCCCGAGGCTAAACGTGAAAAGCAAGAACCACCAATGGCTGAGGTGGAGGAGCGCGCACACGAGGCTGATATCTCGCTGATGGATACCACTGGTAGTAGCGCCACCACCACAACCACCGCCACTGACACCTCCACCACCAGCACCACTAACAACGACCGCCACAACAACACAACCAGCACCATTGATTCGTCATTTGTTGGTGGTGAATTGGCTGACACCACTGTGGAACGTTTGGATACATCCAGTGAAATGGAAACAGATGCGGATGTACTCCCAACAACAACAACAACAACGACACAGGTGGTGGTGGAAAGCACAAAGCGGTCAGTTGTAGCAGAAGCACCAACATCAAGCGCTGAAGCTGAAGTAAATACCGCTGTTGTTACACCTGAAACCACAATAACAATATTAAAACCGCTTGCTGCACAACAACAAATAATAAAAACAACAACAGCCTCTAATGAGGCTACTACACAAAACCCACCGGTACAAATGGAAACCGACGAAGAAGACGACGACGACAAAGTCGCGGCCACAGCCACTAAGTCCGAAGCTGCTGCGGACATGGTTGGGGCTGAAACGCAGGTGACCACAACAGAAACTATAGAAACAACAACAATTGAAAATGCCAATGCCAATGAAACGCCAACAACGACAACAAAAGCTGCTGAATAAATGTTGTAGTTGGTGAAAGTGAAGAGATAAATCGATGCAGAGAGGAAGAAGCTTTAGGAGATAAGAAGAATGAAGAAGATGAAGA